TAGAATCATTAAACCACTGCGTATTGGGACGAATAGTAAATGTTTTCGTTTGAAGAGGAACAAGCGAGTCCAAAATTTCAGCAAGCTTTGAGTGATATTGGGTTGCCTTCTCTTGTATATCTTGAATACGTTGAATGCCATTGAAATTCGAGTTCACTATTTCCGCTTTAAATTTATTTATGTCAAATGATTTAAACCTTCGATATGTTAAAGTCTTTCTTGTTGGTTGTGGTTTCTGGATCATAAGATTAAAAGTTGCCGGGAAATGATCAGATATTAATTTGTCCGAGACAGAGAGATTATCCAGTTTAATATCACGTGGATTAGTTATCACCAGATCGAGAATATGTCCACCGTTATGAGTAGAAGAAGAAACATGTTGTGTGAGAGATCTATTATTCAGCATATCACAAATATTCACCGCGGTAGAGTTGTTGGAATCATCAACATGAAAATTAAAATCTCCCCAAATAATAGTGCAACACTTAGTCATCATCAACTGGTCCAGAAATAATCCAAATTCTTCCATAAACTTTTGACACAATTTGCTATTGGGCGGGCGGTAAATTGTAATAATCCTAGTTTCCTTGAAAGAAAACTGTAGAGAACAATCCAAAATTTCAAAAGAATCAAAACGGTCATGACGGATTTTCTTACACTTAATAGATGACCTAAATATAAGTGCTACACCTCCTCCACGTGAACCGCGAGGGCAATGTTGTATAGAATATCCATCAGGTACTAAAGCTGCGAACAGTCATTATTCAGCCATGTTCAGTTATTCCACAAATATCAATAGAATTTTCGAAATATAATCAGATATAATTGTTGTTTTATTTCTTACGGATCTGGCATTAATTAATCCAAACGAAGTTGTTAAAACTGACGCTTCATTTTCGACTGCCTTTCTAATTTGTATAAGATTGTTGTTTATCTTCTGTTTTGTTCTAAAGTTTTTGATCTGTTTGTGATCTTTGATAGAGTTTGAGGTGAGCTTGATGAGATTGCTAAGATTAATGTTAATATTCAGTTGTGATTGATAGTAAGTGAGTTGATTCAGATAGCTCACTAGCCACAACAGATACAAATTATTATGAAACATTTTGATAAAATACTGCATTCAGAGTTACTATTTTAAACAAAAACACACGCAGGACAAATACACAGCTGCCTCCTAGGCGCTTACATAATGTTTTCAATCTAGGCTTCCTAAAATTAGGCCTAAATTTTAATGAAAAGGCGATAAATAAATGTTTCTTCGCAATAGTTACATTTAAACAGCAAACACTACTTCGCATAAAAATGTTCCACATGCACGACAATAGAACTGAAATCTGTCGCAAATTTATCAACAAATTATAACTTATCAAAAACTGTTATACAATTATTTGAAAGTAAAGGCTTTACCACGCCTGCGCATTATTAATATATATTTGTATGTCGAAATCCACATTAATCCACAATAAACCACGAAAAACACAGAGCACAACAAGGTACAGTCAACCACTATGGCATTTACAATAAAAGTTGCAGAGATCAAACAATTTGTCAATAAAGGTTGCTAACGGCAGGCCCATCTGGGCGGCCATTTTGAATTTTTGACAGTTGACAGCTGATCGACACTCTGTAAAACTAGCAACTACACAGTAACAATATTTACAAAGTGTATATATATCATATTATCATAGTATAAAATATAAAAATAACACCGATTTGCTTCTACATGTTTCAATATATTTTCATCAGGAAGCCATTGATACTAATAATGTTGCAAGGTTACTCTCGTGACGTCACAATAGAGGTACATTACATTGCATGAATGAATGAATAAATGAATGAATAGTGATGAATGAATAAACAAATATAATATGTACATAACACACTATTCAGTTAGCTACTTATCAATAGGAGATCAATTAAGCTAATTTATTTGTTTAGCAGAGGTCTAAATTTTTTAATGAAATATTCCTCTTTAACTGTTCTCTGTTTTGTGCAATCATTTAGGAGCTGGTAAAACGGGAATATTTGGAATTTTGTATTAAAGTTGTGTGCACATATGTCCAGATGTTCGCTCAGGGATATCATGCGATTTCCGATAATTACTGCCAGAGTTATGGCCCTTGATCACTTAAAAAATTTTTTTGTGGACGCTCTAGAGGCTAAAGTTAATATCCGATTGACTTTAAATTTATACACAGTGTTTAAGGTCATGAGGCAAAGAAGCCTATTGATTTTAAGCAATTTCCGATAATTACTGCCAGAGTTATGGCCCTTGATCACTTCAAAAAATCTTGTGGACGCTCTAGAGGTTAAAGTTAATATCCGATTGACTTTAAATTTATACACAGTGTTTAAGGTCCACGAGACGAAAAAGCCTATTGATTTTCAGCGATTTCAGTTAATTACTGCCAGAGTTATGGCCCTTGATCACTTTGAAAAATCTTGTGGACGCTCTAGAGGCTAAAGTTAATATCCGATTGACTTTAAATTTATACACAGTGTTTAAGGTCATGAGACGAAGAAGCCTATTCATTTTCAGCGATTTTCGATAATTACTGCCAGAGTTATGGACCTTGATCACTTTGAAAAATCTTGTGGACGCCCTAGAGGCTAAGGTTAATATCTGATTGACTTTAAATTTATACACAGTGTTTAAGGTCATGAGACGAATAAGTCTATTCATTTTCAGCGATTTTTGATAATTACTGCCAGAGTTATGGCCCTTGATCACTTCAAAAAATCTTGTAGACATTCTGGAGGCCAAAGTGAATATCCGATTGACTTTTAATTTATACACAGTGCTTAAGGTCATGAGACGAAAAAGCCATTGATTTTCCAGCAATTTACGATAATTACTGTCAAGAGTTATGGCCCTTGATCACTTTGAAAAATCTTCTGGATGCTCTAGAGGCTAAAGTTAATATCCGATTGACTTTAAATTTATACACAGTGTTTAAGGTCATGAGACGAAGAAGTCTATTCATTTTCAGTGATTTTCGATAATTACTGCCAGAGTTATGGCCCTTGATCACTTAAAAAATCTTGTGGATGCTCTAGAGGCTGAAGTTGATATCTAATTGACTTTAAATTTATACACAATGTTTGAGGTCATGAGACGAAGAATCCTATTGAATTTCAAAGATTTCCAATTAATTACTGCCAAAGTTATGGCCCTTGATCACTTTGAAAAAAGTTTTAGTGTATTATAAATGTTTCATTACCAAAAAAAGTAAAAATATGCGACAACACTTGTTGACTGCCCGGACGATTTAGCTGCTGTGGGCGTATGTTTCGTTGCCTGGCAACCTATCTTTAAAATAGGTAAAAAGGCATATGGAGAATTTAGTGACAGGTTTATAAGTAAATCACAGAGTATCAAGTGCTTCTGGATACGCCATATTCCTTATTGACTCTAGTGGTAAATGTTGCCCTCTTACATGAAAATCACACAAAATAAGACATCTTGTGAAAAGTATGCTGGCTGCAGAAACTCTATCCATGGTAGAAGCCATAGACTCTGCTTATTTCTTAGGATGTCCGTGCAGTGAAATTTTGTATAGTGTGAAACAGAATAGTCCTCGAATTGAAATATTTACAGTAAAAAAATCCTTATTCAAGAATATACATTTAACTAAACGTGTAAATGAAAAAAGACTCGGAATAGATATCGTGAGTATTAAACAGATGTTAAGTAATGGAGACATTTCTAAAGTCATTTGGGTTGAAGCTTGCCATCAATTATCAGACTGCCTTACAAAACATGAGATATCCAATAAATCCCTGGTTAACATTCTTCAACATGGCAGTTTTGAATGGATTCAACGAAAATGACTAGTGTTTTGAAATAAAATGAATTAATGTTAATGCGTTTTTGTTTACATTTAATTTTGACTATCCACTAGGTGAACAGATGTTTCACTTCCATTTATTTTTATTACTTTCTGCAATGACATTCTTTAATCTTTTTCTTTAAAGAGAAAAGGGGAGTGTGTTAACTTACATACATGTACATTGTACCTGTGAAGTAATTTGGGGATCATGTGGCTAAGTGGGTAAGACGCTGGCTTGCTAGCCTGGAGGTCGGGTGTTCGATCCCTGCATTGGCTGAGAAAGTTCATCGCGATTTTCAGGCATGGTTTCCCCTTGTCAGTGATGCAGGACGGAGGGCCTGACAAGGACAGCTGTCTAGTCGTTCGGATAGGACGGAAAACCGAGGTCCCGTGTACACATTGGCGTGCACGTAAAAGATCCCTAGGCAGTTGGAATTTGATATAAGAGTAGGCCGTAGCACCGCTGTATGGGCAAAATTTCCCTCATAGCACACTGTATGGCGTATGCCTGTCTTCATTAGCTCAGGTTATTAGCAGAACAGTAGGACGTTAAACCCCATTTCATTTCATTTCATTTCATTTCGTGAAGTAATTCATGGGGCATACTTTGTCTGGCTTATTGCTCCAGAATGTTCTGTAACAGGTAATGACTGGGGTTTGATGGGAAGGGTATACGTTTAATGGTGGACCATGTGTATCAGATTCTAGTCGACCCAATGGCTTTTAATGATTTTATTTCCAACATGCATCATGAACAACTATTCAAAGACTAACTTTATCTTCTACAATTTCCCGCCAAACTATAGTCTACATGTATATGATGTTTATGTACATTATATTAATATGACTGAACTTAAAAAAAATATCATTATAGTCTATTTCTCTAAAAGTTTCCATACTTTACTTTCTCAACAATGTGGTTTATGTTTGAAGTGTGGTGTAATAAAATTATGAATTACAGAGTCTTTGGTGATTTAACATAGATGACATCAAAATTTGGATGATAAGTTACGAACCCTTACAATATTTTTCAAATTGTATGTGAAGCATTTAGACAATGAGATGATTAGCCCTATTCATTTTTCCCATTCTTCCATCTCTTGGAATATGTGGGCGTATCATGCATGGCAATTGCTTGTTGGTTATAAATATGTGTTATCTGTTTTTCAGAGTAAAAGTTATTCCTGTTCAGATCCTATGCCTGGTGAAATTATAGCTAAAGATGGGGACGTCATTATGAAGCTTGATAGAAAGTATATAGATGGTAGAGACTATAACTTTTTGATTCTGGTTCAAACTTATAAACGTAAGAGTTCTTTTTCATGGATAATCATTGGATCTTTTTGAACTTTGCCAATAGGAAGAACCTTATTCATTTTTATCCCGCTAATATAGTAATATAGGTACAGTACAAACGTTGCGAAGGTTTGACAAAACACGATTATCGTGTCGTTTTTTATTGAGAATTGCCACGATAAATAACTCCGCGTAGCAGTCGCTATCGTGTGCCACGATAGTCGTGTGACACAATAGGCCTCTGTGTAATTTCACATGCAAAATTAGTGGTATTTGTCATAAGCAATCGATGTCAAAACAATATACTGCCACGATGTTATGAATGTTGAATATTTTCGTTACTAATACAGACGCGTTAGGCCACGTTGTATAGTGAGAACACGCGTGTACACATATTCTGCACGATATACAAGCGGTTATATTTCCAACCAGTCATGTAAAGCTCCATGTCTAATACATTTTAAAGGATGCGTATGCATAAGACTATACATGTGTTACACAGTTTAGATATTTATGCTGTGTTCAAATTGTTTTGCATATTTACTGTATTAAGAGTGTATAGTTACGAATTACTCTCGAATCACGGCAAAGATAGACTTTTAAATTGCAAACTATGAAGGTATTTTGGTTATCGGTCTTACAAATAGAAATAATACATAAATAGAACTGGCAACGGGATTCGAAAGCGCTTTTAAGTCAGACGTAAGCTCATACTTACCGTAAAAATGAACTGAACACAACACAAGTCTCCGATGTAAGAGAATATTAGTTAATTATAACCGCTATCAAATCCACACAGAAATCCAAGGCACTCGTTTTATTTTAGAAAAGAATAACTGTATTTCGATCGAAGAGCCTATTCCACATGAACCCCAAATCAATGATGAACTGTCAACTTGTCATGTAGTTTGGTTTGAATAACAGAAATGTCCTGTGTATAAAAGATCAAAGAAAAAAATTGCACTAGCCACTTTGTTTATCTAAAAGGGGCTCCGGCGCAATTTAAGGAATTATTTTTGACCCAATATTAACCATCGCCAATTTTTTAAATCATGGGATAAAGTCAATCAACAAACAATACGGGTCTACTTTATTACAAAAACATTGGTGAACTTATCATTTTGTCTAAAAACATAACGCTAATCAACAAACAATACTATTATTCTTTATTACAAAAATATCGGTGAACTAATCTCTGTCATTGATTATTAGGTAAATAAAACAATATAAACAACCAATGAGTAAAACTGATTTATTCCAATCAATTAAATTATATACGAGTCACGTATTAGTGTACAAGTTTGCTTGTGGACGGGTTAACTGACACCTGTTCAGCTTGTAAATTCCAGATACAAACTGCTTACCGTATTCATGCCATAGACGATAAATAAGCTAATTAATAAAACCGTTCAGTTGCCAATAATTATCACAGACGCAAATAGTTTTAAAGCACATCAAAGTGTAAAATAAATTGCATAACAAAAAAATCATGCTTTATTATAAGTTGTTAAAGAGGCATGTGGCTATTTAAGGAATGACGTTTGTGCACAATATAATGAAATAATTTAAGGAATGATTTTATTGACAGAATATGTCAACTGCAAATATGATGACTAAACATCATTTTGTTCATAAGACGCTCTGCTTGCGTGAACCTTTAAGTCTGTGTCGATTTAAAAAAATTGAACGTTCGTTCGTTCTTGGTGTTTAACGTCTGCTTCAACATAAGTGATATCACAGACAAGACATAGGAGAGCCGAAGCTGATTCCTGTTTTTTAGAATATGATTTTGCAATCTTTCCATTTGGCCTTAGGCCATGGATTTGGTTTAGTGGGAAGTTCTTCCCTTTATTTAATATAAAACATATCGTTTGGTAGATGATTACGTCTGCTTCTGGATTGGTAGATGTCATCGTTTTAGTGTTTAGGTGGAGGCCCGTCTTATCGTGGCCTCCCCTTACTCCACTATCCCACTCTCTGGGTTTGGTATCAGTTTTATTTGCGGAATAGTGTTTAGGTGCCGAGTTCGTCTGACCGTAACTCCCCCTTACTCCACTATCCTGCTAGTTTGGTAGATGTCATCTTTGTGGGGTTTGTGTTTAGGTGCCAGGCCCGTCTTATCATGACCTCCCCTTACTCCACTATCCCATTCTGTAGGTTTGGTGTCTGTTTTTGGTGGAATAGTGTTTAGATGCCGAGTCCGTCTGATCGTGACTCCCCCTTACTCCACTATCCTGCCAGTTTGATATAAATCCCCTATGTAGTTAAGTGTTTAGATGCCGGGCCCGTCTAACCGTGACCCCCTCTTACTTCACTATTCTACTTAGTCCAACTGTGTCCATTAGGGCGTGGATTTGTTCGAAGATTTGCAGTTTCAGATCTGGTCTCGGGAAGAGTAGGTTCTTACTGTTGAATGGTATGTTGTTGGTCTCCATTGTTCTCCCTAGTTCCCTTCTCTCCTCCTTGTATACCTCGCAGTCTACCAGGACATAGTTGGTGGTACATTCTTCTCCGCACTCACAGATGATGACTTGGTGTTTGTAGTCTCGCAGCCGCTCTTTCACCCTTAGCTTCGATATAAGTCTACAAATATCTCTTCTAGGGTGATTGAGTGTTGTCTTTGTGTAGATCTTGTCATCCAGCCGGAATCTGTATGTGTCCAGTTCAACGAGATTTAATTCCCAGATTGAATTGACCTGTCTTTTGACCATACTGTAGATTTCCGTGGTGCTGTAGTCAATGGTGCGGAGTGGTGCTGTGTCTTTGAGACCTTCATTGGCGAGTCGATCTGCCTCCTCGTTTCCTCTTATGTTGACATGTGATGGAATCCACACGAGTTCTACTTTGCTTCCCTTCTCTATAACCCTCTGGTACAGCTGCCTGATTTCCAAAATGACTTCTGGTCTCGAGTCCGAGTTGTCATTTTGGATTGAAATCAGACTGCTCAGAGAGTCGCTTGGAATGACGAACTTACTAGTCTTTTGATGGGAAATCCATGATATAGCGTCACGAATGGCCACAAGCTCTGCAGTGTACACCGAACAGTTATTGGGCAGTTTCCTCCTTATTCCCTGTTTCCCGTTTGGCAGGTATATTCCAAACGAGCTGGTGCCCCTTTCAGGATTGCGTGAGCCATCTGTGTACACATTGTCCCAGTCATCAGACGGCCAGTTGTCTTCCAGGTGTTCTAGAGAGAAAGCACGTGCAGCAGTGGGGTTGTTTTTCTTGTCAATTTTCTGTAGTAGATCTAGATTAACCGGCGGGATAGGGAGCGTCCAAGGGGCGATCGCTGGGGGGTCGTGTTCATTTATCACGAGCTCCCCCAGTTGCAGTTCCTTGATTGTTTCCCTGATACCCTGGCCGAAGCTTTTCTTTCTAGGATGTCTTACACATCTTGTCTTTTGTAGACTGACAAAAGTAGGGGATCTTTCGCCCAGTTGCGAGATCTTGGCCCAATACCTTGTCGCTAGTTCTTTTCTTCTTAGGGATAGGGGCAACTCCCCGGCTTCCTGTAGTAATGCCTCTCTCCTAGTCCCAAGCCCTACATCGGTCGCAATACACAGAGCTTTGTATTGGATGGTGTTAAGCTTACTTAAGAGTTTTGGCGCACAGTTCATGAAGGCCAAAGAGCCGTAGTCTAATACAGAGCGTATTAGAGCACGATACACCATCATTAATGTAACTCTATTGGCACCCCATGTGCTGCCCGTTATTTTCCTCATTAAGTTTAGGATTTTGGTGCATCTATCTACAGTCTCGTTGATGTGCGGTTTCCAGGTCAGCCTTCGGTCAAAGATTACACCAAGGAACTTGGTTTGGTCTTTAAACTCGATGGTTTTCCCGTTCATACACAGAGTCATTCTGTTTATCCCTCTATCCCTGCTTACAAGCATGCCGACTGTTTTCTTCTCCGAGACTTTGAATCCCCAATCGTTAGCCCATGCCATGAATTTGTCTAAGGCCTTCTGCATGTTCTTTTGTAGTTCACAGAAGTTCCTCCCTTTCCTCCATATGGTACTGTCATCAGCAAATTTAGCTAACTCAGTTTTGGCGTCGAGGTAGGAAGATTTCTGTATGTCGTTGATCATGATATTGAAGAGAGTGGGACTGATAACCGACCCCTGAGGCGTGCCATTTTCTAATGTTTGCACGGCACTCAGGAATCTGCCTACATTCACCTGTATCCTTCTATCGCTCAGAAAGCTTTTGATCCACCGAAACATTATGCCCGTTATACCAATACGTCCTAACTTGAAGAGCAGCCCGTCTAGCCAGACTAAATCGAAAGCCTTAGTTAAATCTACGAACACGACACATAACAGGTTCCCAGAGAGGAGTGCCTGCGACATGACTTGCTGTAGTCTCACCAAGTGGTCCGTTGTTGAACGCCCTTTCCTGAACCCGCTTTGATTTTCGTCGATCAGTCGGTTGCTCTCCAGATAGAACTGTAGTCGTATGTTAACCATTGTTTCCAAGGTTTTGCACAGTGTGGATGTCAAGCTTACTGGTCGATAGGACTCTGCCTTTGTTCTCTCTTTACCTGGTTTTGGAAGAGGGGTGACGTTGGCTTTCCGCCATTCTTTGGGTACCTTTCCTGCCAGCCAGGATGTGTTGAAGAAGTTTAGTAGTATTCTTTTGGCACTTCTAGGCAGATGTTTGAGCATCGAGTACTTTACTTTGTCCTCACCAGCCGCACTATCCTTCTTGAGTGAAAGAGCCTTATTTAACTCCTCCTCAGAGAAGGGTAGATTGATTGGTTTAGCCCCTTCATAAGGTTCAATTTCTAATGAAGGGTGCTGTGAGTAAAAGATTTCCTTTCTCTTCAGGAACTCTGGTGATTGGTTTTTGTCCCTGCTTGCGTCAGCGAAAGCTTTTGCAAGTAGATCTGCCTTTTCATTGCCGTTGGTAACGTACTCATCTCCATTCTTTAGGTTTGGTATGTTGAATGATCTGCGCTTCCCGTTCATGGCGTTCAGCTTCTTCCAGACGGCACCTGTTTGCGTGTTTTGA